TGATCCTACAGAAGCTGGTTGGTATAGTAAGTTGCATGTGTTCTGTCACTGCAAGACAAAAACACCACCACACCACTTTGTTTCTTAACGTTCTGTGTTACTATAGAAACAAGAAATGTATTTTAGGACTACTAGATGTAACAATATCCATGCATTGCAGCTATAGTAGGGTTTTGCGGCTCTTAATTGTTTAGCACAAAGAAGTTGCTCTAGAGTCTAATTAAACACTTTCATCATAAACCTCTGGTTTTATGAAATCTAAAAATGCAGGTGAACTGAGAAGTCTTCCAAAATGCAGAAAGTCAAATTTGACAGATTTGCCAGTACTCAAAATACACAGCGAAATTTAAAAGGGATAGGAGAAGTTTTAACACAAGCACAAGAAAAGCATTACATCCAATTGATATATTGGCTCCAGTCTTTATATGCTCCAGTAATTCTGTATAAACTCTCAGCAAGAACGCAAACACTTAAAAGATGGAGAGACGCAGTCAGCCATAGCACAAGTCATAGTACACAAAACAGACAGATGGTTCAGATTAAAACATTAGGGTAAACGTGTACTTACAATCCTCGTTATGGACATGGCTCTTACCTGGGAAGTAGGAAGAACTGAGTCAAGTCTTGTCAGGCCTCCACGGAGCTGAGTCACCCCTTTCCTAGGGCTTGTCTAAAGTGGAGAACAGAGGTAAGACACAGGCCACACAACTCTTACTTTGGCTCTTGCAGCATTGAGCGGCGTGAAACGCGTTCTCTCATTTTGTGAGTAACAAGGAAAAGGGGGGGGAAAAAGCAAAACAAAAGGTATTATTGGGTTTAAGTTTCATCTCTCCATTAATGAGTGTTACATGATTTAGCCCCATTGCTGTATTGAGAGCACAACATTGAATCCGTTGAAGTTGTTAAGCCTTACTTTTTATTTCTACCAGTACTAATGCACTACAAGTTTTCTGCCATCACTTTGTTTCCTATTGTCACATAACTGTGACATGTATTTCCTGACCATGACAAGAGTGTTCCTGAGCAACTCATGCTATTTCTATGAACACATACTACTGTGGACCTCCCAGGGCTGCAGCCGCTTCACCTTATGCTGTAAGCCCTGCTGAAGTTTCTCCGGCTTGATTTGCTCAAATAGTTACACCAATCACCAAGTTTTGCCACCATGCAGATCGTTCTCCACTTGTATTTTTTTATAGTTATACACTAGAAGGACTATTAAGAAGCCTTTATTTCGTATTTACCTTCTGTCATACTAGCAAACTGTTTCACAGAATCACAGAGCAGTTGAGGTGGGCAGGGACCTCTGGAGGTCATCTAGCCCAAACCCCCTACTCACATAGGGTCACCTAGAGCATGTCGCCCAGGATTGCATCCAGATGGCTTTTAAATATCTCCAAGGTTGGAGACTTCCTCAAGAATTACAACAGAAGATGGAGTAAGAGATCAAGGCGATTCTTCAGTTTTTGTTTGCAAGGGACCATGTCACAGATAAGGATGTTAGCATGTTCCTGCAACTTGCAGCAGCAGCAAGAGCTGGATTTCCACCGTCCCACAGGCAGCAGAAGAACCAACACACAAAGGTTTGGGGGGGGGGGTGAGGAGGGGGCGAAGGAATACCCCTATCTAAGGGAATCAAAGATTAAAGTCCACAGGAGAAAAATACATCTTCCAAATTTATCCAACCAATAAGTTGTCAATGCTTTTATGATCGAGTTCCTCAGTTTTCTGGTTTCTAGGTTGGGTTTTGTTTTGCTTCCCCTATGCAAAAAACCCCAGGAAATCTCAAAGGAGTCAACTGGTGACAATGGAAGGGAAAGCAGTAGACCTTACCTTAGACAATGCTAAATATAGGAAAAGAAGAAGTATAGCCAATATTTTTCTTGGACAGCAGTGGAATTTTTGAAGTTGACAATGCAACAATTTAAAAGAGCATAATGCATTCACTATATTTTACATTACTGTGTGAATATACAACAGACTACAAAGAAGTACCTAAACAAATTTTAAAATATAATGAAAGTATATTCCAGCCTCACTTTTGCCCCCTTCAGTATAGTTAGAACAGCAAATAAAGTGCAAGTTAGTATGACCCTGATCTAAAGCCATGCACGGATGTTGTAACCATTCCCCCACCAAGCCGTCTATCCCAGTTGCAGCAGGTGCTTGAGAACTGCCTCACTACTCATCTCCCCATTCTGCAGTACACAGAAGTCATTGTGCCCACCATGGGAAATGCATCACAGTTATGCCACAACATCTGCTCGTTTTAGTTAATCCAGTGTTGACAATTCTGTTTCTTGTAGGTGTAAACATGTCCTGCGAGCCGTAGCACAGGGCCTGCCACCTGTACTGCACTCTCCAGGTGCCTCAGGACTTTGTACTTCTTTCACTAGGTGTTCTTCAGCTAGGGTACGTGTTCTTTATTAACGAACGACAAAGTTTTCAAACGTTTGTATTGTTCGCTGAGGTTAAAATTGTATTCATGTGCTGTCACCAGCTTCTTTTTTTGTCTGCAAATACCAGGTGTAATCTAGAGACAGAAATACTGTCGAATGAAATCCCATCACACTCACACCTATTGCACATGGCAGCAGGGAAGTACCTCAGATCTTTTTAGCACATACCAGGAGAAATGCACACGGTCAAAAGTTCTCAATTGTCTCCATTTTTACCTATATATATATTTTTTTAAGCCACCCTTTTTTCAACTTAGGAGGCCTGGCAGAGGTCTCCCCTTCCCCCTCCTCCCCCTCCCCTTTTTCAAGTAGTACCAACAAAGTATCTTGAACAAGTTGCGCACCTCGTGTACCACCCCAAAAACGCTGTCCTCTTCCATAGCCCCTAAGAAAAAGGGGCTTGTGAGCTGCTCATTATCTCCTTCAGCAGCAGATCTAACATGTTGCTTAAGCTTCTAGCCACTCGTGAGCATGTAAACGCTGGAATTTCTGTAAATTACACCTATAAACATTATTCTTCTAGCAGTTCTTAGTCTGTTACTTTGCCAGAAGCACACAACTTATTTCATCGTTTTGTTTGAGCCAACACACTGTTCTTTCCCCCCCCACCCTCGCTGGAGAGGCCAGAAAAAAAACACAGTCAAAAACCCTAATGCACAATAAGGAGAACTTTTGATCTCCAAATTCCTGACAGCTGAAACCAGACTAAAAATCTGTCGGTTTTCAGTAGTCTGCTTCCCTTTTCCAAGCAGAAAGTTTATATCTTGCATTCACTATCATTGTACCAACAGCTCTTCATTATGAGTTCTCTCATTATCTTATTTGAAATTCAAGCTGCAGCAGATAACATAACAGCAAACTCAATAGCCCAAGAAAACAAGAAGCTGAATAGAGGCAGAACAGCAGCTGCAAAACCGGCAAGTTTAATCACAGGACTCCAGTGACGCCTAGGGGCTACTGAGGCGAGAGATGCTCTGACGGACTGCTACCAACAGCTGTGCAGTGTAAAGCAAACCATTACCTCTGGGTGCTGACAGAAGGCAGATCTCTGTGGAAGACTATATGAATACCTGAAGCAACATTTAACTCATACTCCTATAATTGCCTTTGCAATTAAACAAAAAACAAAACAATTCCACACAATCAGAAATAATTGTACAAAGAAAAAAAAATCACTGAAGTTTAATTAATCTATCTAAAAGTCAGGTATGAAACACTCCTTGGTAATTTACTGTATCGGCATCAGCCTGTTCTCCCACTGTTACATATGAATTATCAAAACATGCACCTGAACACCAGCACAACACCCTCTATCCCGAGTCACACAACTGCCCTGCATACGTGCACGGCTCTCATACTTGCAGTTCCATCAACAGCTTGATTGCTACATCTTCGCTTAACTAAGTGCGTGGCGGAGAGATGCAAGGTGCTATTAAGAGAAAAGTGTTTTCAGACTTCACAAACAGAGAACTGCTCACATACTTAGGGTCAATTCAGAAGACTTCACAGGGATGTGGGAAACGCATTGAATGAGCACGTTTTAAAACACAATAAGCCCACGTAGCCGTGTGCCCAGTACTAGAATTCCACACAACACAAGGACGCAGTTCACACATCTGTGCGCTACACTGTTTTGCAGCACAGAAACATCCTCATTTTGCAGGTCACAAAAATAGCTTGGTCCCCCACAACCAAACCAGGGCTTGGAGTAGCTTTTCCTGTTAAAAAGAAATTGAAAACTGTCACGAAAAAAGGCTTAATGAGGGTGCTGATAATCTGACTACTACCTAAGCTTGAGGAGCAGCAGCAGGGAGGTCTAAAGCAACACCCCACACCCACTAAATTACTCCATTGTTCAAAGTAAGAAAATAGAAATCTTCAAACCTCTCTACTTTATCCTTCCACTTGTTCTACCCATCAGCATAAAAAAAAAAAAAAAAAAAAAAACAGCAGGAAAGTGCACCACCATGTCCAGTTTCAGCAATCCTCAGTCTGACTCCACCACCTCAGAAGACTAATAATCGCTGTACAAAGTAAATTCAGGGGGCATAACTGCAACTCCCTGCCTCTAAGCCAGCAGTGTAAAACTACAGAGGGCCACAGATGAGAAGCTAACAATGGCCAACATTACACATACAAAAAAAGGAAAGTGTGTCTTCTAGCATTTTTAAGCGACTAGTATCTTAAGCTACATTCAAACCCAGAGAACCCTGCTGCATACCCTCTTCCAGGCATCAGTTTTGTACACGCTCTCTGAATGACTAGTTAACATGAAGATTCAGTCTTCTATTTGACCGCTAAACTTTACAGGTCAGACAAGCTGGCCAAAATTTTATTTAATATACTTCAGGATAGTAAGCTACAAGTAACTGTGGCTTGCAAATTCTTCTGTTTGGAAAAAAAACAAAAAACAAACAAAACCCCCCCCCAAAACACCTCCTGTTTAAGTAATAGCAGCTGTAACACGTGTGTGTGTGTGTTTTTCTTTTTTTTTTTTTTGCTCCTTACATGGAGGAAAAGCTCAATAAACAAAAAGGCAACTAAAAATATATCCGTTTTATTTACCAGTTTTCTAAAAAGCAAAGTCATAAAAATTAGTCACAAGTGGCAAAACCAAAATATATTGCACAGTGTACAGAAAACATTGTTGACATGTTGACAAAGTGTCATCACAAATAAGTCGTCTTACAACAGTTTGGAAAAATTACAGGCTTCAGAATCTTATCTATAAATGGAGGCATGTAGATTTAAAGTTACAGGAAAATATTTTAATACCACCCTGTAAATGCAAACACTTTAAAGGATGCAAGAATAAGTTCTTAAGTAAGCACATCCACAAAATGCTCTAAATATACTTTTCTCTTCCTTTCACTAAGTTATGGTTGTGTGATGGTCATTGAAAAAAAAAAAAAAAAAGAAAACAACAAAAAACAAAAAAACAAACAAGGATAAAAAGCATGCTAAAGCAAAGAAGTTCACAAAGTGGTTGAGAAGTCCCTGAAAATCATTTGTATAATTATGATGCACTCCTTTATATAAAGCTTTTATTTTCCCAAACCCTGGTCCAATGAAAACCATTTGCTTTTAAATGTCAAAAAATGGAATATACGTAATATGCTGGCATAGCTGCACTGTTCCATTTATGATTAAAACATTTAATATATTGGACTTGAACATCAACATTTTAAAGTTTCTCATTCAGTTTATATTTACATATGCTTAAGTTTGACCTTGCTAAACTATTAAAGACAGGAATTGGAGCTTGCTGGGTAGTGTCTCACACTACATTTAAGATAATTGCTCTTTAGGTTGTGATTCTACTTGCTTCGAGTTCATTCTCTCTGCTAACTCCAGAACCTGTGTCCAATGCAAACGTCATTATGACACTGCCCAATTAATTATTAATTACTTTACATGTCTTTCTTCCACCCAGCAAATATCAGCCACTTCTACACATTTTTGGTGGTGTTAAGTTCAACTTCGTGTCCTCTTTCTACGCAAAGACAAATATTTTTACAGAATGAAGATAACGTTTAATTTCAGTGAATAGAAATGTTATCCCCCCCAAAAAAGAAACACATTTAATGAAAAATATTTTAAGACAAACATGTCAAAGTTAATTGAATTTCTCCCTATGTTTTCCAACCCAAGGCCTACAATTGATATCTAGCAGTACTGCAACTAAATGCCCTTTACCTAACCATTATTGACAGCGTTATTTTTTTTTGTTCTCTTCCCATGGCTAACATGTATAAACAGCACAAGAACATAAAGTACATATATTCAAGTCAATACAATTTCAGAGACACTAAATTAAATCCTTGACAGCAAAGGATTCTACCCACACTAAGCTTTAGATTATGCAGTTCAAACACAGTAAAAGTCAACACTATCCTCAAAATCTCTTCTTTTTATAAGAACTTCCTTCAAATTAAGAGAAACGTCTCTTCCTCTCTTGCCACACGGGAGTTTGATGTTTATTTAGCCAAAGAGAAAACTGATGGCCAACACTTTTGGCCAGCCTTGTGAAGGAACAAATCAGAAAGAGAGGTTACAAGTTATATCAAGCTTTGTCTAACAGTCACTGGAGCATACACAGTCATCCTCTGTGGTCTCAGTTCTCAAATCTTTGAGCATAAAGATATCCTGTGGATAAAGTTCTCAGAAATGATGCTTCAAGATAATAAACAGTTCATAGTACTGCAGCATCCATTTAAATAAAAGGCTACAAAGTTGTCAGCACTCATCTATACTTTCCTACACATTCACATAAGAATTTTAACCTAAGGCCTTCTTAAAAAAAAAAAAAAAAATTTACATTGCTTTTAGACAAAAGAAAAAAATTCCTACAGTGAAAACTATAGGAAACAAAAACAGATGATGAGATCAACTGCTATGAGAAGGACAGGTGTGAATTAATTTGCTCGAAGGTTATTTCTTCTACTATGCTGGACCACTTCAAATATTAACGGCAATGCTAAAGAGCTATTAAGCAAAACTGCTAGAATAATTTATAATGCTGCATCATTACTGAAAAGAGATTTGAAGAACCATATGTACTTACGGGGATTTTCAGTACTCATTAACGCACTCTACAAAAAACAGTAGGCATCAATGAAAACGTCTACAGTTTATAAAGAAATACTTGAGGCATGTAAGTGCAAAATATGAGTCTTTGTTTTTTTTTAAAGAAAAGCTATACCATCTTCAACAATGTCCTTACTGGGAAGAGATTGCCACCATTTAAAAAAGAGATTCTTTCACAAATGACTCTTCTAGAACAGAAAAAATACGCTTGTTTTATGAACCAGATTCATCTTGCTGGAAACAAGATTAAAACCTTTACGGATCATCACTGTAATTTTGAAGCAGCTTTAAAAAAAAAAAAGAGGCTCAAAGGCTATGTTTGTTCTTCATTGACTTGACTCAGGGAAACCAAGTTGTTCTCCCCACTATCTTCAATCATTTCATTAAGGTCCATTTCATGGATTTCTTCATCATATGATGTATAAAAATTGCTCTGTACGTTGTCCTCACAAAAAATACATTCCTTAAAACAAACAAACAAAACAAACATTCACAAGTCATAAAGGAAAACATCTTTCCTAGACACCTGCCCATCTTCATGTGATCCATTATTCCAGTAAAACCTTTACTTTAAAACTGCGCTGCAACTATACTAGATACATTCCACTCCAACTTTCCCCCACACAGAGATTTTTGTACCTCATCATAAACCAACATAGGTACTTGAGAAATCTACTGGAAGCAACTATGCCACAGATCTTTCGAAATACCAACATTTTTACATGCATTTCAAACCACCTTTTCTACATTTGATTGCTAGCACTGCAGTAATGCATTTCTGTCAGTTGTAGTGCTTAAGAGATGAAGCAACTGTAGGTTTACACCACTCGGTTACTATAATATTAACGTTGCAGTAACACTAACATCGAGATTAGGATTCCACACCAATTCTGTTACGCTGACTTTTGAAAGGCCCATGTGTGCAGAGAGCCTCCGCATTCAACAGCTTATCTGAAGAAAAAGCTACAATTGATGGAAAGCCTAGGTCTTTACCTAGGCTTGCAGTTAAGTATTTTTGTGTGTGAATACGTAAAATTCAGAGCTAACCAACAAAACTGCAAGGATATCCTTTCATTAGCTCTCCAAGCCATTAACCCATTAACCATAGAATCAAGACGAGATGGTCCTGAGAGAGAAATCTCATGGAGAAAGGAACCATGGACTCCCAATCATTTTGTACTCTCGAGAAAGCAGCAGGCATAAACATCTCTATTCTGTGCATGGAAACTTATGTAGCAAAATTTCTGGCTACATTAATACAGGATTTCTAATAGTTATGCATAACTTTCAGAAATATGGAGGTATTTTCTTTTACTGTATTCGCCCATCCACCACTTGAACTTTCCCATTGGGAAGAATATATATGGTAAATTAAGTCAAGATACAAGGCCCCGTATGAAAATTTGAATTGAACTTTTTCCCCAACATAAATGGCCAAACTTCCACAGCAAGAGGAACGGCAAAGTCTAACATAAGCAGCTAATAATTTAGGCATTGTCAAACATGCAAAAGTAGCGAACTACTTTAAACTCACAGAATTGGCTACTGCTTTCGGCAGTCCACCTTGCTGGATCCACGGATGAACTTCAATAAGCTCTCTTTTCTGTTCCTCTGTAAATTTTGGCTGTAGTTTCAGCATTTGCTTTAATTTCTGCTTATCTTCTTTTAAAACTGTCTCCAAATCTCTAAAATAAAGTGTATTTAGAAGTTTAGCTTCAACAGTTTCTAGACTTCATGCCTACATAAGGTCACACAGTCCACTAGTAACATTTTTGAAGATTATTTTTGTTCTGCAATGTTTAGCTTAAAAATCTTTTACAGGAAGAAAATAAAAAAGTGTGATTATTCAGAGCTGTCTGCAAACGCAGAAAGCTGCTGAGTGCATCTCCGCTTGCTCGTTATCTTTTCAAATCCCATCAATGAAAACAGTTTTCCTGAGAGCTATTCAGGCAGCATCACCAGTGAAACCACCAAAGGCTCCAGTTTTCCTCTGCTGCTGGGAGGAAGTTCCAAGTTCCCCTTCACTGGGGAGGACAACCAAAAACAGACAGTAGATGCACAAATGAGATACTAGAACAGAACAAATAAGATACATTTAAGGAGATCATTAAGAACAAATTAAACTTCAGGATTGAGGGGGAGAAAGTTAGAAAACACTACTCCATTTCAGCAGCCAAAGTTCCTTCTCTTTCCATTGGCCCACTTTGACTCAGAGGCATTAAAAAAAACAAACAAAAAACCGCAAAAATCTCCCCAATGTTTACAAGCTGTATACTCCTATAAAAGGTATACAGAAAGCAGGTTCTAAGAAAGCCAGTATTGTTTCTTTTCCTTACAGCATATGTAAGGAGAGGCTGTCTCTCCATTTCTCCTCTTGGACATCACTCACATCAGCCTCCGCGACTATGGGCTTAACTCTTATCACGGTACAGTTTCATATTTACTGTTTATAGGTTTGTAGGCTTTGCTGCTCTCACAGTCCATCCACTAGAATTGCTATCTGTAGCTATCAGCCTTCCAGGCTGCACAAATCAAGGAAAGATAGGTACTTTTTAAGCCCAGGGTAAAATTCTCTAGTTCTTATGATGTGCTCTCTTCTTCCCCACCATCCTCATTTCTCTGGCTCTGTATTTTGAAAGCTTATTTCCCTTCCCTTTCAGAAGTTTTTTTCCTTAGTGAAACTTCTTATGCTTTTCAAAGTGTTTTCATTAGCAGCCTTATTTTTAAGTTCCAATTCGTTCTCCTATTTGAATGGCAACTTAAGGAAAATGGAACACGCGGGAGTTAACAACCCAAGGAAGAAGACAGAGGCAGAGAAAATAGTGCACCATTGAACGTGGCATTTCAAGGACAACAGCCAGCTAGCACAGACTTTTCACACTAGAGTCTCATCTGATCCAAGCATACTTGCAAGGATCTACTAACCAGATCGCAAGGATTTGTAGGCAAGTAGCTATAAATCACTAAGCGTGCACCAGCTTCAACAAATATCCACAATAACTTCTATTCAGTGTACCAGATCTAAAAACACAGATCAGATTAATCAAGTAATTCTTACATCTACTCTTCCAGAACTTACTGTCCAGCGTACAGAAGATACAAAAGGAAGCAAGGTTTCTTCTTCTTCACACCGAGCTAAGCGTTAACATAGATTTGCTCTTGAAATTTCTACTGAGACAGTAATTCATACATATACTTCCTCCCTCCCTCCCCCAACACATAAGCAGTTCATGAAGGACTACAATGTTGGAATTACCGAGAAGGTATCTGGTAAGTCATCATAACAGTGTCATCCGTGTTTGCCATCAAAAGCCATATAGGATCTTGAAGGACATACTTAATGAAGTGCTCACTTTCTTCTATTTCTGTCTTCATTTTGGTTTTATGATGATTTTCCGAGGAGTCAATACTCCCAAAGTATTTGCTGGTATGACTAGTTTCACTACTACCTTTAAAAATAATTTTAAAGTTTCATTATAAATCAAGTACATAGATAGTTGGATTTTTTTTTCCTTGAAAGATTAAAGAGTACCAAAAGTCTAAGTACTCCCTACAAGAAACTGCTTTAATATTTTAAAACCAAAACCCTCAAACTAAGTCTCCATTAAACTACAATAGAACTACTACTCCATTAAACTAAACTTAAGCCAAATAGTCTACAATGAAACATCAAGGAGTAGGATCTTTTCATTATCCGGCCATACCTACATAAAAACAGTTTTGTTGATACTGTTTTGGCTGGTTAGAAAAATCTGAATGGGTACAACTTGTAAAACAAACAAACGTTGAAGTTCCATATTGTAGATCAAGTGTACCAGGAAAAAAAATTTTCCCATTAAACAATGAAAAAAAAAAAAACCAAGAACAAATTAAGCCATGAGGATTAAAGAGAATAAAGATTTCAATATAAAAACATTTTATGTTCATGTGATATTTGCAGTATCTTACCCTCCAACCCTTTCAAAATGCTGGCAGAGAAACTGTATTCACTGCCAGTGTTACCTGTTCTGCTCCCTGACAAGCCACAGCCATTGGATCCAGAGCCCAAAGATTCAGCAGCTGCAGATACACCACTTCCTGATGAAGCTGAACCAGTGCCTGAACATGCATCTTCCTGAAGTAAAATGTCAAGCAGGACACTGGACATGGAGAGTGCATCACTATTTTGAGCATCCATTGGAGATTCAGCCTGGTGATGAGAAGGGAAGGGAAACAAACACATTTGAGACTATTTCATCACTACTCACTCGCATTTTGTATAAATCCATTTCACTTCATAGTTTAATATTTACAAACAGTTATGCACAGACAGACAACAACAAACAACATACAATGATACCAAGACCAACTGAGGCAAGCTGAAGTGGGCTGATAGGCAGACATGAGATCCTGCAGATAAGACTGAGATTTCAATTCAGTTTCTCTTAAAAATACATACAATACAGTGAGGAAAGCATTCACTATTCAGCTTTGATAGACTGTCCTGGACAACTCAGAATTTACCCGAGTTAGCTGAGAAAGATTACTGGTTGTTGCTACTATAATCTACCTCAGAGAGATTTGCATCAACAGACCACCACTGATACTACTCTCAGTGAATAAGGCAGAAAGTTTTTCCCAGATGTGAGTTTCCTAGAGAACGGAACATAAGTTACGCTTTAAGGGATGGAGCATTAACTACACCGATTGCTAAACTAAGAAGTTAGAGGAATGCAAACCCTCACTATAAATCAGCTGGAAGATCAGAGTCAATGCTGAAAACTAAGGCTGACAAAGAATTTAGCAAAGTACATAATGGCATGGACTAGCTCCAGCAAAACGCTTAACATATACCTGAAACGATGTCTATCTTGCTGTCGTGTTCAATATTAGCAATGAGGACATTCCAGAAAGTAACATTTTGCACGTTTCTTAAGAGTAGGAGCTACACATTTGAGGAAATTCAACAGCATTTGCCAACAAAACTGCTGCTATCATTTTTTGTTATCAAAGCTTTTAATCTCATCATAGTATTTCAGAGCAGGCTGTAAATTATAGAGTGCCACAGATGAACCGTTTTACTACAGTGCAAGTCAAAGGTGCTCATAGAGATAAGATTTCAGAGATGTGATGGAGTACACACAATACCTTAGTTCAAATATGGCATGGGAAGCATACATCCCTGAAAAGTTCTCAGTAAGTGGCATTTGCATGACTAGCATGATAATTTTTTTTTTAATTGTATTTGTTCAAGAATTACAGAATAAAGCATGCAATAACAGAAGGTGACAAATGCTTGCATTACGTCAATCAAGTTCAGGAGTTTTCCTAGAAAAAAATACAGACACAAAATCCACCTTCTCTCTGCTCTACCTGCATCATCTCCGTAAGAATCAACGTTAAGAATATTAGTTAAAATCATCTAGAAACTAACTGAGGAGAAAAGGTTAACATGAACAACTAAACAGGAATCCATCAACTTAGCACAGCATGCAGAACAATCATTTTCATAAGTTTTTCCTCCTCCTCCTTTAAAATTCTAATGTAGATCTACGCTTATGACTCAGATTGCACTGAAGTCATCTCATCAGCTGTTCGCACGGACACTAACAATAGTTTTTACTATTTGCTTACAGTAATTGAGTACTCAGATATGCTTAAAAGTAAAAAAAACCTCTCCTCTTCCAATGCCTGCTTTCCATTCCTCAGCAGTGTATTTTCTAACAGTAGTACTAGATGCAGCAACCAACTACAAACCACAGGAAAGCAAGAGGGAGAAAGAAACCATTCCAAAAGGTTTAGGTTACATCCCTATCCCACTAGCGACTTAGCATTTATAAATGCTATCCTGTGGTAGGAAGACACTAATATTAGTTTATGTCATTAGTACCATAGAAGCCTCTACAGACCTGAGGCTTCTGTCAAAGATTTGTGATTTGTTAAACAGATCCTTGGAATTTAAACGGGCCGGGAATCTCCAGGCATCTCTACGTGTTAACAAGCTTAGCTACATCCAAAGGGCCAGAACTTTTTTAAAAAGCCAAACCAACCAACCAACAAACCATCAGCATACTTACTGGTAAAGATCCCTTTCCACTGCAGTCATCAGTTGTCATGATTTTGCCTATACCTCCTTCCTCACTTAAAGCTCCATGTAAACCCGCAGCAGCTCCACTTTCAGCTGTTTTGGTAGTTTCTTCCAGTTGTAGAAGGTTCAGAGGAGAACTGCATCTTGACTGGAACAAAGGCGGTGAAGCCTGGTCTTGTGGACCAACTGACTGTGGAGTGCAGGAACGGGATGGTTCATTTCGTGGCTCTGTGACAGGAACCTTTTCACTCTCTGCTGGTGGATTATAATGGAATGGCTGCGTCGGAAAAAACGCCTGTTGTGGGAAAGGATTGGGGGCAGTGAATGGTGGCTGTGCCGGAAATACTGTCTGTGACGAGAAAGCGGAATGGGCAGGAAAGTCAGGTTGGCTATGGTAAAGGGGCTGAGGTAAGTTATTGTTCATCTCTGGGTAGACGTAGTTCGGGAGCACAAGAGCTACGACAGGCGTCATAAGGGGTGCAGAGAACTGGGATGGTTGCATAGGACAAGCATTTCTAGAGTCTGGTAACTGATTAAAACCAGAGAGTGGAGCCTCAGAAGGCGGTGGCACAGTCCCCGCTGCTGGAAAAACAGGAAGTGGATACGCAGGCATAACGGTGGGGAAAGACATGGCTGAATAGCTCGTTTGTGAAGTGTCTGATGGTGACCAAGCTGTAGTATTTAAACCTTGAAGTGGGAACCGATGGGGGAATTTAGTTCCCGAAGTTGTACTGTCTGAAGATTCCTGTGGTTTAATGCGTTTTGATTTCCTGTTTTTCCCACTTTTCTTCCAAGGCTGATCCATCCCAGAAGTACCATTTCTTTGTCCACGGCCGCCTAGGGAAAAAAAGTTAGGAAGACTCCTACTTGCAATCTGATGACTCCCTTTCACCTAGTTATCCTTAGACGCTCCTCAAAACTACCATTCTGGACTTTATCTGTCAGAACAGAACCACCAGGGAAGAGGCCAGGTTCACTCTTTTACCTCTAGCACTAAAGCTGAGCAGACTGGCCAAGACAAACCACGCTGACACACTGAGGGAGAAAAGGAGAGCTGCAGTGAATTGGTTAAAACTCAGATGTGTGCCACCCAATCAGCACAAAAGGTGCAAAACAGCGGCTCCCAGGCAGGCAAACTCCTAATCAACAATTACAAGGAAAGTAGCACTGGACATGACTGAAAGCAGTTCTAGAGAGTTATAGTCATATAGGTCCTTAATCCAAAAGGTGAAAATAAAACAGGAGGAAAGGAGAGAAAATAGACATAAGGAGAAGGATTTTCTGGGGGGAAAAAGCATGCCATCTTCACAAAGTCTGGTAGGAAAAGCACGGAACTTGATTTTAGGAGAAGTTTGCACTAAGTGACTCTTTTCCCAGGTGAACACTGTCAGTCTGCTTACAGACGCAAGGAAATCCATAAAATAAAGCTTTCAATACTCAAAATTGCTCAAACTTTTTGTTTATCTAAAGCTTATTTAGGCTGACAGTTTATCAAGAACAAAGACCACATGGGGACTAAAGCGTTCCAGAACGGGTCTCTGTAAATCAGGGACCTGCTAAACTATTTAAATAAAAAATGGAAAACAAAAACCTGCAAAAAGAGCTTAGCATTGACTAGCTTCTGCTCCAAGCAAAGTCAAGGCTGTACCAAGCACTTCTGAAAATGATATCCTGGGTTCCTAGCTCTTAACAAACAAAATTCTCTCTACTTTGGACAGTCTGCTCTATTCCCATCATTCACTGGTCACATTCTTAACCTAATTGCATCCAAACCATTATCAAGCTATTTAATTGATGACAAAATTCATAGTCCAATTGGTTTACATCCAGTTTTCCCCTAAGAGGCTTAGGGATGGGACAGGGGGATACAAATGGAAAGGCAGAAGAAAAGCAAGGAAAGACCAAGACAGATGAGAGAAAGAAAACATGAAGGGGAGGATGGGAGGGGGGAAAACCACCCCCCCCCCTTTTTTTTTGCCCTTTGAAAGTGGATGTGCAGGAGTAATAATATAATGAACAGATAACAATTAAAACAATGGTTGTTATGTTAAGAGCTATATTCCACTCAATCTTCAAGCAAGATCGCCATCAGAAAGAATTTTGCTGTGGACTTAAAAATGGTATGCAGCTGTCACTATTCACAGTCACCCCACAAAACAATTAACGCAACTGCCCTCTCAACAGGATTCACTTCCTATGTAAAGACAAGTTTAATTGTGAAAACTAGTGTCATACCACGTTCACCAGGCCGTCCTTTGGGTTTATCTTGTAAGTAATAATTGCAGTGAGACTGGAAAATATTGAACCTCTTGATTTCTTTAAACTTATTCAAAAAGCTCTGCTCTTCTTTTTGTGTATGCACTGCAAGAACTTCCTTTGTAAGTCCCAATTTTTTAAATGGCTCCTTTTCCTGATTGACGTGCACAGAGCTGGATGGAGGGGCAAGAAGCTGGCCATCTAAGAGTTCTGCTCCACCAGGACCATCTTCTATCATTTCTAAACAGGAAAAAAAAAATGTATATGCATTTTGAAACTGTTAGAATTCTGTGGTAATTCTGCTGTAAATTTAAAATAGACGTTCTGTCCCTATTTATTTCATTTCCATAGGGACATTATAGCTATAAGAAAGCGTAAATCACAATTAGATATTAGTTGTTAGAACATTTGACGTTTAAAACTAGTAGCAATCACCATTTTGGAGAAGAACGTTATTAGCAAAAAGCATACCTAATTCAGGTTGTGGCTTTTTGTCTCCAACATGAACAATGGTGCTACTGTAGCTGCACTGACTTGTGAGAGATACAACACTTTCTGGTTTGCCAGGTAAAGCCAAAGAGGTTAAGTGAGCACCAACTACGGGGGCAGCACTTGATTTATCAGATGCCTTCAACACAGCAGGGTCTATTTAAAAAAAATAATGAATATAATTTACTGAACGTAAACACGAGCAAATAAGAGTAATATGTTGCTAGGGTTGCAAAATAGTAGAGACTAAACTGTGTTTGGCAAGACAAGAAATGAACATTTTACTTGACGTTGTGCATTCGACCAAAAACATTTTAGGAACAAAACAACTCCTGTGCAATCATAGCTAGTCCTCTACTTCCACGCACAGCCAAAGCGGATCTTGCAAAGAAGGACTCCTGGTCCTTTCCTGAGCTTCCTTCTCCTTTGAAGACAGAATTCTGAAAGAAAGTTTCTAGCCTCTGAGCCCAAGATCTTTGAGCCTAAGAACTCCTAGCTCCAGCTTGTTGTACACTAGTCTCATCAGCTGATGAGACTAACAGCTTTGCTCTTAGCATCTGCCTATTTAGGCCCATGCACCTGAAAGCTATACACAATAATCCAACAGACATCACACCAGTGCCTCACAAAACAGCATCAAAACATTTATTCCTCTCAGGTAGGAATACCTATCATAACTCATATTCTAAGACCCGAAGTCTGCCTTTTTCCTGACTAGAGTATGCTGGTGGCTTGGTCATTCTCAAGTCATCGGTGCACCAAGAAACTAGCGAACCCTCATCTTTCCCTTTCTCCTGACAACTGAAACTGAAGAGGCTCCAGATGCTAGCAGAAATTCTGTTCTAACTGCATGATGCAAGTTCCACCATTTCTTCCTCTCTAGTTTTCAAGGTCTTCTAATTCCTTCTAGAGATTTCATTCTTCTGTATGATGACACCTTTCAATTTTATTCCAAAAGCTATATTAGAACTTTCTCTTTCCTCTTCTCCAGTTCAAAAGGAAACATAGACAAGATCATTTTCAAGACCAGTTTTTCCAGAACTCCACTAATAATCTCTCTTCAGCCTCATACAGTGAGAAGATGAAATCGGCAATTACCTAGTTCTTTATCAACCTCACAGCTCTTGTACTAACCACTTACCTTCCCCACTTTAGCTTCCCACTAGACAGAGGCCATATCAAATGCTATCCTGAAATCCTAACAAATGAAAGCTAATGTTTTTCCCCACAACAGATTTTTTAGATAGCTACCCACAGTAATCCTCATCTTTCAACTTATTTCCATAGCTGGACATTCCTTTCAAATGTTTTCTAATCCCTCACATAGGATGCATCTTACCCCTCTTATTCCTTTTTAACTAAAGCTGCAATAATTGCTAATAAAAGGCGCCCATCAATTAAAATTAAAAAAAAAAAAAGGCAAATTTAATATTGAAGACAAATTAACGTCAGTGGAGACTGTCTAATCACTGTTACTTTAAATGGCATAACTAAGAGTTAAATCCAGTGCTTATTCATTTCCAAACAACCACACAGCACAAATACATAAGTGTACACTCACACCATGAACATAAATGCCCACAGAGAAGAAACTGAAGTGAGATTTGCACGTTTTTGTTGCAATTTGCTGACAGGGTCTTCAGCTAGTTGTTTTTACGAGCTCTAATTGTGAAATAACTTATAATTATATTTAAAAGTGATGCAAGTCTTAAAACCCCAAAGCCTGCTGTGTTTCATACACTGTAAACAAACCAAGTTTATTGTATCTACTCAGTATTTTGATTTTAGGGAATCTTTTCATGATAACAGTTAGATCACCAACATCTAACGCTGAGAAAACAGCTACAAGGTCATGCCTAAGTTACACTTGTGATTGTTCTGCAAAGGCATACTATAACATCCAACTGAACGCTAATAAAAATCAAATAGGAAAGAGGTGTGGTGTAGAGATACCTCCCAAGGGTTGTATAGCATTATCAGCTGTTTTTGGTTCATGAACACCACAATTCAGTGACGCAACATTTGATGAAGGTTCACATTTTCTCTTTGATGTACCAGGCACGTTACAACTCTCCAAGTACCTAAAATACAAAGGATTAACAATATTAAATATGCAGGTATTAAATCTAGACACCAAGAGCAATTTACACACTGATTGCTTACCTGATGACACTGTCTAAACAGCTAATCTGTTGGTAAGAATATACAGGTTGTTCCTTCCAAGCCAATTCCTCAGTAACCACATTTTTAGGAGCAGCTATGATCGCAGCATCTTTTCCTGTCACATCTTTAACATGATCACCAGGACCACTTTGTTTCTCTGTTAAAAACATATTGCTATTATGTATTAATCCTGGCATTTCCCCTAAAAGCAACAGTAAAACAGCAAATGTTCTATTTCACATGTATTTAACAGACCAAAAAATCAAGCACTGTAAAGCAAGCAAAAAGTTTGTGCAATAACAGAAGAACATTATGTAAACATTCTTCTGTCCTTATGGATTCTTAGAAGCATGAAGTCTTAGTTTGGATGAATGGATCCAAAGAGGATCTATATAATAGATATAAGGGAATAGATAAAATTAGAATTGAAACATTCACCTTCAGTATGAGGACAATTATAGTGGATATAAGTTATAACAAATTATTACACACACATTAATTTTTTTTTCTAATGAAAATCTTACTGACAAGATTTAAATTCATCAAGTTAAAATTTTGATTTTATAGGTAAACAGGAAAGACAACATCCATAACATTTTCCTCCATCTAACAGAAAAAAAGATGTTTACCTAGTCTGAAAACATGAGCTACAATTAAGATACTTCAAAACAACAGCTCTGGGACGTGCCTAAACTGTATGTTATAACATTATCAATTCACATATGACTGGGCAGAACGTTCTCCTGAACGCAACAGAGAGACTGAGGACAATAAAACGTACAAAGATAGCACTTACATGAATTAAATTCAATTGGAAAAAAATAAACAGACAAACACACACACACACACCCAACTTTGATATTACACCAAGTAACAGCACAATAAACCTATACATAGTCGACATGCTAATGTCTCACCTGCAAGAGACTCTCTCTTATATTCCAGTTTTGCTTTACTGTCAGTGAAGAGGTGTTGTCCTTTATTTTTGACCTTACGGGCACCTTGACAAATATCCTGAAAGACCACCATTAAAAATAGTTATTAGGAAATTCTGACATAAGATGTCATGCATACTGACTCCTCAGTAGGCTTTACTCAGCCTTTAGCCAACCTCCATGTAAAAGTTAGTCTGATCATGGGAGAAACCCTAATATAGAGAATTTTATTGTGCATCAGCAGAATTTGGGGAACTGGAAAGAGAAGAAACTTCAAATTTGGTTTCTTGTATTCAGTTACTCTATTTTGTTTAGAATGATTGAACAACTTAGGAAAACATGAAGATGCCTTACCAGTCAAACAACACTTCAGAGAAAAAAAAAAAAAAAAAACAACATTAACCTGGGTAAACAAAATATTGCTGGTAAGACTGAGAACTTTTTTTTGCTGGAGTCTTCAAAAAACACTGACAGGATGCTCTTGAACTATGTTTTACTACAGCACTCTTCACTATCTGTAGAAATAGTGAAGAAGGAAAGGCTGGTATCTGTGTCTCAAAAACAAGACCTCCTTGAGCCTTACTTGTCTACATAGCTCTAAAATTTAATCAAGTATCTGTTAAACAAAACACCCAGAGACTTTATCTACTTCAGCCATTAGTGTTTAAAGACTGAAAGCCAGGAAAGTAACCACCTGGGCAAGCGAGCCAGTCTGCCATGCCTGGTCACCTAACCAGACCTTAGGTTTGGGGGATTTTGCTTATGATCTACATAAATAAGGAAAATACTGGCTTTCAGAAATTAAATGCAACTCCGTGGGCTACAACAAAGCTGGGAAAAGCAACAGGGATTCTAAGAAAAGTGGAGATGCTAAAAGATGGTGCAGTTTCTTCGGCTGCCTTCACATTCATTACGCTACTGTCTGTCTCTTGTTTACTTTGACTATGGAATAGTTGTGTTGGCACAAATTTAACTCTACTGCTTTGTTCAGATTTTCAGAATTAAAAAAAAAGTCACATCTCACTATCAACTAGGTGTAGCAGTGGCCTGATCTACAGTAAAACTCAAAAACCTCTTCATTTCATTCCCTCTCATAAAGTCCATTTTTGCAACCAAAACAGCTTCAAGCTATTAACGAGACCCCTAAAGCAAAGAATTAAATAATTTTTACCACAGTCTGCTGTCTATCAGAGCTTTACTGTGGAGCTTCGTTTAGTGTATTTTGTCTACTTGGTTTTATCTTGGAGAATAGGAACTACAGACTTCCCCCTCCCTCCCAAAAAAAAGGCTTTCAAAGAGCCAGCTGGTTTTCCCAGAATAACAGTATATAGCGTGTAACAGACATTAGAATAACTAAACTCAGTGCCCAGTTTAAGGTTTTGTTTTTTTTTTTTTTAAATACACACTTACTTTCACACCTATAACTGTGTTTCAGTACCCTGAGACTTCGTCTACACTAGAAACGTTTATTTTCTCCACAGAATTTTTCTTGATGTTAAATAAAATAAGGGAAAAGGATGACTTTTCCTTATACTTTCTTCCATCTCTGTGTTCAAAGTTACATGTTAAACAGTAAAAATAAAAATAAAAAAATAAAAAAAAATGCCATGCTTGAATAAGAAACCCCAAAACCTACCGGTTTATCCTTATGAGCGTCTTCATTGTTATTTCCCGTGCTGTCACTAGAGGACGCCACACTCATTAAGTGCTCATGTGAGCCGTTGCTACCCAGGCTTCCATAGCCACTGGATCCACTGTTGTGTACAGGCTGTCAACAGCAACAATATATATATATATATAATGTGTGTGTGTGTATACACGTATCTCTGCACACCAGCTTTAAACAAAACTGGAATAAGGCAACACGAGGCAAAACAAGTTAATACAAATTATATAGAGAGTTATTCATTTATTTTTGTAAAGCATCCACAGATGCATGAAGTCATTTAAAACACCAAATAGAGCTTTAAGATAATTCACTAAACCATGTCTGTTAACCAGGAACAGGAATAATTTCCAGGACCGTAACTATAAAACCCAGTACAGTAGTAGACAGCTAAACAAAACAGCACACACAAAGATAAATGCTTTTTCTTCAGTGGAGAATTAAAAGGGCAACATGAAACCACATGCTGTACCTGCAGTAATAGCCGATATATTTGCTCAGTGATTTCCTGAACACTGGGATGAAGGATTCTATCCTCCGTATAGTTGGGAGCAGCAAAAACATCTTCATTTAAAGGACCCCTACATAAACCAAACATATCCCAGCTGATTACAAATGTATTTCAACCACAGAGAAACCACAACCTCAATTTACCATCAATACATAGTAAACATGATCTCATTCTTATTCTGATGCACCTACAAACTTGAATCCGATACGAAAGACGTCCTTACTCACTTTGAGCATGACCTCTCTGTCCTGAAGCAACTCTTGACAAATTGACAACACTTGTAGCACTTCAATTTCTTGTTATAGCAGTCACTACATTATAATATACACTTGCAATCACAAAACCCAAATTCAAAAAAGAGAGGAACCAATTTGAATTTGTGATTTCTTTCTATAAACTCCTTATAAGTCTTTGTTAAGGACTGCTGTGTAAACTTGGGGGGAAAAATACAAAATTCTAATAATTTATTGACTTACGTCCTAACTTTGTGCCTTCCAATGATAAATGAAACTTTTCGACTCCAAGGATTGATGAAACTGGACCAGCTAGTGTCCATGGTTATATAATCTCCATTTCTAGTGCAAAACCTGATTGGTGAATAGTCAAAAGGCTGTCCTCCATACTGAAGTACTGTAGTGATTGATTTAAAAATAATAATAATAATAATAAAAAAGCAGATTAGTATTTGCCCAGGAAAATTCTATTTAACAATTCACAATGAATTGCAAAGGAAAATTGTATTTGAAGGAACAGATACCAGATACCTCTATACATTTAGAAATGCTGGGTTACCAGGATAAGCAGTCCTTAATAATATACTAGACTATATCAGGAAAATTAACACCAGAACACAGCAAGCTAAAGAAAGGTGACTAAAGACAGACCTTTGTTTTCAAAGTTTAGCAAGTTAGCGTTGCTAGAACAACTCATTATTTTTTTCCTCCATGGCTATTTGTGAAACAAGAAATACTACCATTGAGATAACTTCTATCATTACACTCCCAGGGCAATTTTCTTAAAGCATGAAGTATTTTTTTATTCCTTTATGGTCACTTTGTTTACAGCAGACATTTATCCTTCACACCAAATATGAAATTGAGTGATTTCTCACTTTTATGTACTTGCATTAAGAAACAAGCTGTAGAGTAAAGGAGTATTTCAGTATTTCTTTGCTTGCAGGAAGAGTCAGGATCAGTATTAATTTCTACCTCTTATCTCCTAAAGCGCTTATAGTCACCACTACTAACTTTCAGAACAATCTGATATTTCTGATACAATAAAAGTATTACTTACTTTTTTTGTGAATTGCTAGCATTAAGGGTCTGTCATTCGGGTGGAGATGCACCAAGACTGGTGTTCCTATTAAGTCCTGAGGTAGGTATCCCAAGAGAGGTACCGCTCTGGGGAAATAAAAAACAAAAAACAAACAACAACAAAAAAATCAAGTGGAATAAATGTATATTTATTCTTTGAAAAGGTTTCCATTTCAAGTTTTCTTTGTTCTTTTTTTCTTTAAAGAGAAAGAATAACCTGGAATATAACATTGGGGAAACATCAGTGCTAGATTAAGAGCAAAGTACTCTTTGAACAAGGCTCTTTTTCATAACCTTACAAAACAACGTGATCAGATCAAATCAAGGAGTCTGCTACAGCACTTCTCCGTTTTTTTTTTCTATGCTGCCTACCTCTGGAGGATACTTACCTTGATTTTGAAAGAGCACGAATAAAGTTTAATCTTATAAAATTTTCAGGAAAGTAAGCAGTACCCCCAGTCTACGAGCTGCAAGCCAGGACTAAGAATCACACAGGATTACTATAGTAGAACTAACAGGGTAGTTGACAAGGGCTCAGGAAAACTCTCACATGCAGGTTAAGAGTTCAACTCAAAGAAGCTGCCAGGAAGCAAGCTCATTAATTAAAATATTCAGAGAACTATAAATAACATTATTTATAGCATGTTATAACATTCCTACATGTTATCAGTAACCTCTTCTAACAACGTGAACTACTAGCTTATGTAGTGACCGGCTTTTACTGACCACGTAAATCATTCAGCCTTAAGTACGTATAAAGCATAAGGAGAAAAACAGTGAGAGTTCACAAACGTCAGTTTGCATCTTACCCTGAAAGCTAACCTCCAAAAATACACTTTGACCAAATATTAAATTAATAATCTACAAAAATGTTTAAGAAGTTGTCAGATGCCTACAAGCCATCTTGTAAACTCAAAGTCCTATATACCCTTCCCCTGGCCCCAGTCACTAACAAAGGCCCAGTAAGAGAAAGATACTCAGATATCCGAATACTTTTCTAACGGAGAACTGGGCCCCACTGTGCCACAGAAGCAGGGTGTCTACTGTGCTGGAACTCAAAAGCATTATAGGACAAGCACCTTTTTTAATACCACACTTTCAATAACCCACTGCAAGAGTCTGCCGTCTGGAAGAGATTAGATCAGTTCCCAAAAAAAGTCAAACATACCCTTCTGGCAAAGAGGCAGAGATGCTCGGAGGAAAATGAGGATAACAACTGACACCTTACTATTGAAACAACTAGTCAAATAAGTCTTTAAATAAGTCTTGACAACCAAAAAAAAAGAAAGAAATAAAGAGGGTCTTAAAAGCTTGTAGGTGATCCATCCAAAGCAACAACTTCAGAAAGAGGAAAGTGGCATGATAACTCATACCAAATCTCACAATTTTGAAACACACATTAAAAAAATGCTGACCAGGTTAATGTTCCACATTCAAAAAAAAAATGTTCAGGGAGTTTAAAATACTGATCTATTCTGCATGACTTCTGTTAGGACTTCATCATATAAGGTTGTGGGAAGTGGAAGAAAACAGGAATTTTTTCTTGTTCTGCATTGTTCCTACTCTTTGCCATGGAAACCCTCATTTGTGTTGCACCAGAGCACCTAGCCTAAAGGGGATCTAAATGTTAAGCTGTCAACAATTAACTTAATTAGAACAGGCAAATTTAGTCACTTCAATTAAAAAAAAAAAATCACCTGGGCATTCTCAGACTGCTGTGAAGACCAACGGAATAGTGGGGGATCTGGAGTACACGACCTACGTGCACGATTGAGGGAGATGGGCTTGCCTCATCTGGTGAGGAGGAAGCTGAGGGGTGACCCAGGAGCTTCCCACAGGTACTCGCAGGGGAATTACAAAGATGAAGCCAATTCTTGGCAGTGCCAGACAAGAAAATAATGGGCAAAATGCCCCAGATTGCAGTCTAGAAAGTTCATGCTGGACATTAGGAAAAACTTCTTAACAAGTGGGTAGTGCAACACTGGAAGAGTTTCCCATACAAACTGAGGAATCTCTGTCCATGGCGGTTTTCAAGCCTTGTCCAGGCAAGGACATAGCAAACCTAACCTAGTGCTGAGCAACAGTTATGTTTAAAGAAAGAAGTTGGAACAAAGGCCTCCAGCAGTCCCTTCCAACCAGCACTTGTGATCATATAACAGAATATTTGACAATACATAATATACTATCTACTAAAAGCAATAGCTCAGCACCATTATGCTTCCTCATCATGAGGAACTCAAAAAAATAATTCAGAGTTGAAGTTAATAAATTTGTTTCATGAATGCAAATGCACACATGGCAAGAGAATAGCTGATGAGGTGGGGTGACAAGCTTATTTTGTGTTTTATAAAATGACATTTAAAGTGTCTAAACAGCATGCAATAACAAGTCTCCTTATGTTCTTATTGCAAGTTAAAACGCTAGGAAACCACTTTGAATGCCTACACTGATATTCCTTTATTGTGAACTATATACAAGTCCTTACACAAAGATGTCATACCCATCCAGTATCAAACAAATTTTGAAGACATCCGTTTAATTTAAGGAAAATATTTGTTTTTACTGAGCATGTCGAATGCAGAGATCCACGCGCAGTATTAGGACAAACAAGCATTTCTGCAACCCATAAACACAAAAAAATCATACTGTGATCAGTGTACTTATTTTATGTGAGTCATTATATTATGCACAATTCTCACTTGACAGCAGGTATTCCATTGCATATTTTTAAATTCTAGGCTCAGTTTTCTTAAAGGATTTATTGTAGTAGTAGTATAGCTTGAAAATAATAATAAGCTCCATATGCATATCTTGGTAAATGGTTGTCTGGCCACCAGTGCTCTCAGGAGTTAAATAATTAAAACCAAAAGTCAACCACACAGGTTGCAAAAACAGAAAGCAAAGTCCTAAAATCAGACTAAGGTGTAACGGACCTCCACCGTGAGTGTGTAAAGAAGTATTTGAGAATAAGTGATAACAGCAGACTAACAGGTAAGATGCTCCCACAGTAGCAGCCAAAGAGAAGGGATCTATCCTACACACTTCCTGCAAGCCCAAGAATAAAGGTGATGCTCTCCCTTCAGCAATGCTTCCATTTCTGTTAAATGACTACTGGAAACAAATTCTTGAGCTTGGGGTGCACAGAGCAAGGGAAATGTTACTTTGTATCATTAGCCAGTTTCAAAAGGTAAACCCCTGCTGCAAAGTTCTGAGGTTGGCTTGGAGCATATGTGGGAAGGAGGGAGGGAGGGAAGGAGAAAAATCCATCAAGAGGACAGAACTACATTGACTAAACAGCTCTTCTGTCAACTTAGAGATAAACTGTATAAATCATACCATGGAAAAAGTTTGTCAGCATTACATTCACTTCTACTCTGCAGAAACTCTTCACACTAAGCCACAATGTCTGCACAAATCGGCCAAAAATGGCTGTACATGTTCACCTTGCAGCTGACACTTGTTCTCACTGATTACCCATTGTCTTCCTCTGTAGTAACACCTCCAAAAGCTACTGCTCGCAGTTCTTGTTCAAATAAAAAAAAAATAATGAAAACACACACGCGCTAAAGTAATACTGATACTCCTAACCTCGCCATAAATAAATCTGTCTCTGTGAATCAAATAATGCAACTTTTTACCTTAGTGGCCCTAGCTGAGCCTAACATCCCAATAAACATCACTGACCTCAAAAGCCTGAGATTGTCTCTTGCGCAGCTTAGCATGCTCCCAAAAAAATCTTTCTGAAGAGATTTCTTCTGTTTTCAGAGACCTCACACGTTACCATCACCTAAACATCCTTTGAAAGACCCCAGGGAAAAGTGATCCAGAAGACTAAAGAGAAGTTTAGTTTCTACCTTAATTACTGACTCTCTAGGCATACCAAGTCACAGGCATCATAACGGGTTCTACTCCAAAACGTGGATAGTTGCTCTAAGCAGCTTCCATGACTGTCAAAGCAACGTGAAGCCTTTAGCAGGTAAAACGTGAGCAGTTTCTGTATACAGACACCAACTGAAACTATGAAGACTACAGTTTCAACTCAGAACAGAGCATAGCATCCATTTTTTAAAAGGAATTAATGTTGCAGGGGGAGGGGAAAAAAAAAAAAAAAAAACCACACACCACATACATCTCTAGCTGATTCTGGGCCAGCAAAAAAACGACATCAGCTTACTGTTTGTTAATAATTGTGTTAAACTTTTTTTTTTTTGGTAAGTTTGTCGGCCCAGGAATTTTCCTGCTAGTGCGTTTCATTCACGGAGTTTATACCCAAAATTATCCCAGATGGAAGGAAAACAGAAAAACAAGTTTTTAGAAGGCGCACACAGTTTTCCATATAAAGACCGCAGCATAACGTGTTTTCAAGCTTAGTGAAACTGGAAGAGGCATTTTTTGTGGGTTAAATTCTCTTCACTAATCCTAGAAATATGTAACCATCTACATGTTAATTAAACCCCAAAAACACCTGCACAAGACACCTGATAAATTGCTTACCAGTAAATTAGAAAACAGTATTTCTAGTAGTTTACCTTTCATCTACATCCTGAAACAAGCAGGTTGGTGTATGTGTAGTTGTAAATATTCTTTTGTCAGGAGGAATCCTGGGCGCTGAGAAAAATAAAAACAGATTAATAAGTAACTTTTGCATAAAGAGAATCCTGTAAGGCACATGCTTCATTTAAATGCTGAGTAAAGTCTAAAAATCTATCAAAAAGCATATACAAAAGTATCCCTCTAGCTCCAAGCCTCTCAAAGACAGAGAACAGCACCAATTATCTTTCACATTTATAAAGCTTAAGACTGGTGACAGTAACTCATACAGTTAGCTACCTTAGGCTGAAATTAAGCTATGTTACACTGCATGGAAATTCCTGTAGAGTTCTTACTTTCATGAAACTTTGCATATGCTGAAGGATTTACCTTCATAACCAGAGTGCACTTTTTCTGCCAGCAGCACACAGCAAAGCTGGTCCTCTGCTATTTCCGGATCTTGCACTTTGATAAGGTAAGGAGTCATCCGAAACGGGTGATAGCAAATCTCGTTTTCACGCTCTTTTCCTGCACTGTTAAATAGACATTATTTCAACAGATACAGATATATTAAAACTTTGTTTAGCATAAAATGAATCTTTTATAAATGCCTCATGACAAGACTGAATGATGGCTCCTGAAAGCAGCGCCCAATAATTTAACTCTCTGAATTCTTGTCTTTAGAGTAGGATCTAATTCTGATAGCATCCTTGGCATGCCAACTGCAATAAAGATCACATTGTCCTTTCTCTGTCTGAAATCAAAAGATCCACAAATGCTTTAAATGCTACATTTTATAAAAGTCAGGGAAAGAAAAGAGAAAACCCACCCACCAGAACAGATTAAGCTGTGCTTTACTGATCCAATAATCTTACTCTGATAGTAAAAATCTCATTTTTACCCTTCAGAAGGGATGAATTTATAGCTAAGACTACTATATTCCTCAGTTAACACACCGACCTCCTTTACTCAGTATTTATCCTGATCTAAAAAGAACAAAGACCCAGAAGTTCATACATGTTGTAACAGTTGTTTACTTGATATGAATCCCGAGCACAGTAATGAAAATATCAAACGCTTAGACAGCTACCAAGAAAATGATTCCAGCTGTAATGAGTTTATAGAAGCATAGCCTCCCATAGCTAGAACTTTTGCAATCAGTGTAGATGTTTTTTGTTCTGGTAAACACCACCACCTGCAGTACCTTTTTAGTGCATCCAACCTAGCTGTTTGGAGTGGTGCACTCTCTCAAATTCCTTCAAAATATACTCAGATCTTAATAGCATTTATTTACTCCAGAATTAATTAAATAATGCAAGCCACAATTTCTCTTCTCAAAAAATGCTACTGGAGTCAAATTGCAAAAGAAAAAACAGAACAAGAAATAAGTAGCTAGCATCTCCTATATCAAACAATTTAAGGGAGTGAAGGCAAGAAAAGAAAGAAAAATGAAAACAGAGGAACTGCAGCATCTAGTGGCTGGGGAAAAGACCAAACAAGTTACCCTCGTATTCCTTTCTTTACTGGACCCTTGAGATAAATTTGAGATTTGCCATCAGTCTTGCAGAATGCAAGAATTTGTGCCAGGTGCTGAACAAAACAGTACAATTAACATGAACTGAAGACTTTCCACAGCCATAGGAGATACCGTATCTGTTTCATTTATGGTGCAAAGGTCAACATTCAGACTGATTAACTTCTAAAGATGTAACTTCCCGAAACTGTTCTGCAGTCTTCTCTGTAGCTTCTAGAAGTTAAACAACTATAGAACATGCATATGTTTTGCCTTATGTTCACAGTACAGAAAAGTATGACACTTGCATGCCATATGGTACTCAGAGTCAAATACTTTTGCATTGCACAGTTTCATGATACAACACTAAGTCTCGTTGTAATACTGTTGTCTTACCTGATACGACAGAAGAAAGATTTCTCTTCCATGCAGTCCTGGGTGGAAGACTCTAGAAATATGAAGTATTTCATAACAAGTTACAAAATTACTACAAGATGATGATGTTTAGAACAACAATTCTTCCCCAACAGAACTAAAAGAAGAGGAGTGACAAAGATAGAATTCTTTAAAAATCTTAAGATCCCCAAAGCCTTCCTTTTTTAAATGCACTTCAGAGAAAGAACTCCTCTATAGTTTAGCACAAAAATCTACATGTATTTGCTAAACAATATATTTCATATGCAAATAAACTTGAATACCATGTGGATACCGAAGCTAGCATGTGAATCACAGCTGCTTGCTTAGTAAGCCTTCTGCCAAAAATATATCTAAACAGCTCTCCAGTTTGAGCTGTTTATCCATCAGCTTTTCTGCTGTAATTTATAGTGTTGACCTAAAATGTTAGATTATCCAGGACCCACAACTGGGCCTCCTTCCTAGAAAGGTACTAGGACAGCTAGGTCAAATCCACTCACCAACCCAAATAACAGGAATTTTTCATGAAGGCTTCCCCCCGTCTTTTAAACTCCTTTCCCTTCTTTTCAAGGGCAACCACAGACTTACTTTCAAGGCAAGCTCTAGCCTTTTACAGTTCCAAAAGGCCTGAGTGTGTAATACTTCTAGATAACTACATTCTATTTCAGCCAATGCATGGGACGGGGTGCAAAGTTCCACTAACTGCATTTTTGAAATGGGAACTATAATAAAACTATAGAAAAATATTTTTTTCCAGAAGAACTGTATAATTGAATAGCGTCCACAACAAATGACTAATTAGGACCACGTGGGGTCTGAATTCAGTGTTCACCCTGCTTTGAACTGCAGGTTGGACTAGAGACCTCACAGTGTCCCTTCTGAGTCTAAGCATGTTTAATATTAGAAATACTTGGTATATATTTATTGTTAATGGTTTTTCAAATCAAATAAGGCCCATACTCTGGCTTAACTTTATAGACTTAGTATACAATAAATGAGAATTTCAAACATTTACAGCAGACTTTGTATTTCACACGTTCGCTTAAAAATAGTTTGGCAGATATTTTTTCAGTTCCTAAAAGCTGCAACTACACTAGTAAAATAGTCTTCCCTCAAACAAATATAAAGTACCCAAAGAAGCCTGCTCGTCCTTCACCATTAACATGCCTAACATAATTTTTCTAAGGCTAAAAGAATAGAGATACAATTACACTTGTTTAATACACTGTGATGTTAGCTGAAGTACATCTTTCTACCCTGCAATCAAGTGTCCGATATTCAAGTCATAACTATTTAAAAAAAAAAAAAAAAGAAGAACATAGAGCATGATCTTCCTTATATTTCAAGGAAAGAAGTTTTAAAGGAAATCTGTGAAGATTTGACTATAGGAAAAAAAGGGGAAAGCAAACCCACTATTCAGCATGAACACCTACTTTGTTTCCATTCATCAATTGGATGAAAGGGGCCCATGAGCCAATGAACAATGTCAACAGAAGATTTCTAGCCAACAGACAAGCCTGGGTAATTCATAAGAGCATGCTATACATCTGGAATTGTTCCAAGATGTTCTAATCACACAGGTGTATTATACCTCCAAAAAGTGACAGGGAAGGATAGCAGGATATTTTAAAAAATTAAAACCCCCTACACAGTTTAAATATTTACATTTGCATGACCAAAAGAAGTTCAGAGAAGTATCCAATATTGAAATCGCTCACCAGCTCTATTACAAATATTCCATGAGGGTAATCTGTATGGGGTAGTGGAAGTATAGAACACACTGACATCCTGAGGTGCCAAGAACTCCACAAATTTGGCATTTTTAAAATAACCCCTCTTACAACGGAGGATAGAAGCGGCTTGATCAGAGATGTACAAGATTTTCCCAGTAATCAAAGAAACAGCTACAGCAAACATATCCTAAAAACAAAAAGCTCAAGTTATTTTAACAGTTTAAAACATTCTTGATCTAATGCATATTGTTTAGGGAAAAAAGTAGATACAAAAGTATTCAGAAGTTCAAAATAAAAACTGAGGAAATAAATTAGAATGTTTAAAGACAGCATTCTGTTCAGGGAGCAATAAAATGCAGATTAACCTGCTTGTGAAGACAGTACACATTCTGAACTATGCAATAAGAATAATATACTAAGATCTCATTAGGTTACATGCCCTAAATATCATTTCCAAATATTTTGTGATGCAGAAATTGCAAATCAAGAACGGCTATCTTTAAAATTGCTAGGTACACTTTCGTCTCAAGATAAGATTCGTATTACGGGCATACTTTGCATTTATGGAATTCAGTCGTTTTGTGAAAGGTTGTTTATAATCAGCTTGTTCATGCACAGCTTAACCAAGGCGCTCTAAATCACTTGGAGATTAAAAGAAAAAAAAAAAATCAGTAGACAAGTGGAAAAAAAAAAAAAAGCCCACCACAACCATACACACATTCCACTTGGATCATTTACTGTGTCAAGAAAAGGGACAGCATGAGAGTTCCACGCGTCATAAACTTTAGTGCTCTATCCAGCATCACTGTGCACAAACTTAAAAACTGTCATCAGAACATTGGTTTCATAAACTCAGATGTTTTAAATAAGTGGGACATCATCATATTTGGCTGAATGAGTCTTAGTTGTACCCTAGACTTCCTATTTATTTTACATTGTAGGCAACCCTTACTATTGATAGGTACAACAAAAAAGTTCCTGCTCTAAGCTTTGGAAACTCCCCCTTATTTTACTCCTTTCAAAACCTCATACATTCAGGCAGAGGCTGTTGGGTGAGGGGGTTGTCTGGTAAGTTTAGATATAACTATTTTTGGCAGACTCCACATATCCCTACAAGAAACTAGAAGCACACACACACACAAAAAAACAGCCTATCATTTTACTGCTAAAATTACATTGATAATCATAGCTGTTCTTACCTAGAAAAGACGACACTACCACTGGATCATGCAGTGATCCTATACCAGCTGTAACGACTAGATAAATACCACAGAAGAGGACACCAACCATGATTCACAATGTGCCTTGCCTAAGCTTTGGAAAGAGTTACTCTCCAACTCTAGGAAGTATTATAAAATGAAAAACAATGATGTCTCACAGAGCATTATATCACAGGGATGTTGACATATATCATGCCATTGTCTAAGTACCAGCTGCAATTCAGAGGACCAAGGAGTTTAAGCTACTAATTCCCAGCGAATTGCCAGAGAAAAATCCAGTATAGAGAGGGTAGATTCAGCTTTGTGAAAAGCAAAGTTTGTGAAGGCTCAGAGTTTCTACCACACATCCCCTGGAAGGCAAGAGCCAGCTTCTTCAGCTTATTGGGCTAGCCACCAACTCTTACCTTGTAAAAATAAGTCGTATCTGAGAATTCCAGCTCCAGAGAACTTTTTATATACACACTGCAGATCTGGGTCAGCATACTTACCGCATTTTTCATGATGTATTCTGAGGTTATATTCTCAACTTCTTCCACTGTGTAAGATGACACATTAAGTCCAGAAGGCTGGGTTTCATTAATCATCAACAATTGATAATACTCCTCATTGGCTATATGAGAACATTAAACAACTTATTTATAATCAGAATTAAAAACCTTATCTACAAACATCCAGCCTGGAAGCAGTCAATAGACAATTCAGGCCGGGGGGGGGAGGGGGAGAAGGGGAGCACATAAGCACAGGATAGACTGTTGGGAAATCTGGTTACTGCTCCAAAATAGTTTTTCCTCAGTGTAGTTTCCTCATCAGTAACCCATATAAACATACCATCTTTCCACAGGGTTGTGCCTCAATATATTTTGGTCTATATGACAGCTTACAGAATTAAAATTTAATTTTTTTGCAAATGAATTTTCTAACTAAAAGAACACATCAGGAAGAGACTAAGCAACCAGAAAGCTTCTCCAATTCCCAAAGGAACCCAAGTTAACAGAGTCAGATAGAAACATCACTGAAATATTTCTTTAGAGAGGTTTTCAAACATAATAAATTTAGCTTTACACAGACAATCACATTCAAACTTCTATTTATATGTTTACTTTTATCAAGCTTGGCATTATCTAAGGAGCATCATGCTTGATTACCTTTAACTTGTTTAATGCTTTTAAGGGCATATTTCAATGTTGTTAGGACACTAGATTTGCCTTTGATTCTCTTTTCAGAAGGAAGGTGAGCTTTCAGCTCTTGTAATGTTTTCAACAATTCCTTTTGTGTTTTGGCTTTAGTGGACTGCTCACTACTGTAAGATTAAAGACAAAAAATAAAGTGTCACTTGAATGCTTGAAATGACACCCCATTCTCATAGAAGCCCAAACATATTCTGAGGTTTGTCACATAAATGTGTACAGCTAGCCACATTAACTTTTCCAGTATTTAATATCAACATTCAGAAATAATTGAAATAATTTTAAAATTACCTAGAATCACTTCAATTGAAAGATTTACCACCACCTGAAATCTTACTGTACGATGTACTCTCTGTATATGCAATAGCATATATTAAGCAAGCACCAGAGTTTTGTTTCGTTCTGGTTTTTTTGGCCAGTTCCACCCCCTCTTTGTTAGTTATATTCTTTAGGGTTTTTTTTTTTTTTTTCAAATTCAAAGAAATATTCATGGACTTCAAGGGAGAGAAGCAGAAGGTCCATTCAAGTTTTCACCTCCTGTTCAAGCAGATTCTCATAGGAAAGGTCCTTTAAAAGGGAACAGCAGTGGGAGAGCATCAAGTTAACAAAACAAATGGAGTAATCCCTGGAAAAATGTATCTCAGTTAAGCATGGCAATACATTACATAGGGAAACTTGACTAAATATGGAGAGTGAAGACTCAGAGAAGGAGGCTGGAGACAGAAATTGCGTTCACATTTCTCAAGGCAGAAGGTCAAAGTACAGAGATAATCAGTGCCAAGGTCAGAAAGTTATTGCCTTCCTTTGCAGTTCCTGTTATCTCTCGCCATTACTAAAAGATGCTGCTAAAAATCAAAAAAGGAGGTGAGAAGGAAAGTGAAGAGAAGGGGAAGATGACAAAGATGGGTGGCAGGTGGATGGGAAACAGTTAAAAAAAAAAAAAAGGAAAAAAAAAATCAGCCTGTCTTTCTCATTGGAGTAGATTTTAAAAGAAAATCAGACACAACAATCTAGAGGATGCTAGGGCTTTTCTTTAACCTTCCTGAAGAACAATTCTTTCCTATCAAAAAGGAGGTGTTCTGTCAACTCCCAGTTGTCATAGCTGGGATTCTCTAAGAAGTTATCCTAAGGACCACTGCAGAAACAACGGTCTTGGCAACTGCACTGTATTCAGTAAAGTGGCTTCAGCCTTCCAGGTAGTTTTCAAGAGGATTTTTGAATACTTACTGAGAAATCAGAAAAGTTCTTCAGCTAGATCAAATCACCTGACAGGCATTGGCTATATTTAGCCAAGAATGCTTAGAAAGCGACGATGCTGGTTTGTGTTACAGAACACACAATGATCCCACACTATGAGAAATACTCATTTGCTTTAGTCATTCTGTACTGAAAAAATAACAGTGAGGCATCAGAAAAAAAGAGCATATCACTCCCTTGGAAAGAGTTATATTTACTGTCTGTATGAAAACCACATCTACAATCTGGCTTGACAAGTTGGACTGGCAGAATCAAACAGGGCCTTATTAACAGAAGAATCCTCTACGCTGGCAGGAGGGGAGGAAGAGAAAGAGGAAAGACCATGAAATATCTGAGCATACTGCTGTTTCTGTAACCTCCAGGTATGCTTCAGGAAGGTGGTTAGAATCTTCGGCAAGAAAAGAAAATTATCCTATAGCGGCAGCAAACACAGAAGATGAGCTTCCTTGGAAAACAAGTCATCCAAATGCATTTCAGAAGATCAGAATAGTCAGGTACAGTAGACAACCACAAGCAAGGTTACCTGCAGAGTATGAAATAGTAAATTCTATAAAAAATGAGACTTTCATTTTGCTTTATGTGAAGAGTAAACTGAAAAGCTATCCACAGTTATTAAACTACATAGCTGGGTTGTGGTGACATTGAAACCAACACCCAATAGTCTTTGGATCAAAGGCTAAACCTACAGCTTACCAAATTATTCTAGTCAGCTCTTTAATGAGCATTGTCTAATGATCCTCAGTCTCTCACTCCCAGATGATGATCAGATTCTGCTCTGTAGCTCTCTAGCACTATGCCTGACAGCTGGGGAAAAATGCTGTACCATCTGGATTCATAATTATTTCTGAGTAGAGAGCTATTGGCAAAGTTTAAAAAATAAAAGAGAGTTATCAAAGAAATCGAAATAAGCAGAATCTTCTTAAGAAAATGGAATCACTAGGAAAGGAAGGTTAAGAAACGCCTTTGGTTCACCCTCTTCTTCATATTAAGCAAAGTGAACTCAATTTCCACTTGAAGATAGTGTCTGTGCCTGCCTTGTGGGCACCGGGAGACCTTGTTCCATGCTCTCTAGGTTCATCAAGCACCAAATGGTGAAAAGAGGTCATTTTAATTTATCACTTTACTAGGAACTGCATGAGGTGGAAACACTTTCAGGCAGGCCCATGTAGATAGGGATCTTAACATGAATATGCTAGAGTGAGACATCAGTGATCTGCTCAGGATCAGGTTTTTGCTTCCTGATTAGAAGCTGACTTTAAAAAGTTCAGTATGGCACTCCGAAGCATTCACATTTGAGCCTTCAATGCCACCAGGATTCTCAAGGCTATCGGGTCAGAAGCAGAGTTCATACAAAGGTAGTCCTGCAGCTGATGTTGGTTTATCCTTATAGACTTGAAGCCCGATGAGTGGAACGCAGGAGAGGCAGAGGGTATGGCTGCTGGACATCAGAACACATCCAACTCAATGGGTGAATTTTGATGTTAAATCACTACTGTGTGGCCCCCAGGAAAGGGCTTCAGGCTAAAATCTGAATAGCATAACATTTAAAGAAAAACTTCAAAAAAACCCACTAGAGCTGAAGTAATATCCCAAATGAACTACAAAAATAAGGTTACAGAGTTAAGCTACCAAATCAAAACAAAGTAAGATGTCAGAAGTTATTGCACAACTCACATGGAATAGCAACAAAAAGCTCTAATTCAACCTAGTGTTAAGGGGACCTACAGAATGCAAGGCACATGCTACCGATTGGATAGGAAGTGACTGAAAAAGGGTAGTGTTCTGTGTATTCTTCCAGGTATAGCCAAAGCAAAAACAAACAAACAAAAACCCAATCACCAAACAAAAACACCACCAAAACCCACTATTTAGTCTTTATGATTTGTCAGCATGTACGTGCAAATTACTGAAAGAAGTCAGCCAATAAGCAATCTCAAGTTGGTTATTAAAAATTAATGCATATTAATTTACCTGCATCCACTGCTAGACTGATTGTGCTCAGAGTTTGCGATCATCAGACTAAATGCATTTGAGCTTGAACTAGAACAAGGAAAGAGAGCGAGAATGGTATTAGTAAGTCTAACGTACAACTTGCATTTCACTTTAGCTTTACATTTCCCCATTAATGACTGGGGAATATCTGGGGGAGGGAAGAGAGGAAGACACTTGAAGGACTTCTGTCTGCTAAAATCAATGGAAACTAGCTGTAGGTGTTACACATTTGTCTTTAAGAAGTTTCTTACAGTAGCTTTGCTCTGTACATTAAATTACTATTTAAAAGATGAAAATAGTACAGCTGCATCCTGACACATAAGAATATATCGATAATTTTTGCTACTTAAAGAAGTTTGATACGAATAAGCATAGAAGACCAAACAAACAAGCAATGATGAGAAAACATTGAAATTAAGGTGGCCCTGTGAAACACTAAAGGCCTGCTCTTTATGAATTATAATATATTACAAAATTTACAGAATACAAGAATACAACTAGTGGAAGGAACAGTAAGCGCCAATTTGAAGATATCATAAATTAGACTCGAATGGAAAGAGTCTTCAGTGACAAAACCGAAGTTAGTGACTACCTTTTATGACAGTCTAAAGGTTCCATGAGCATTGCTGAATCTTTCCCATTTTCATCAGATTCATGGCCATGAGAATCATGTCCACTGGAATAGTTTTCATTTGTGTCATTTCCACTGAAGTCATTTCCACTGGATCCACTGCTCATTTCAATATCTTCTTGAAGAACTTCATGAGACTGTTCAGGCTTTGCCTGAATTTCTGAATCTCCAGCAGCAATCATCTGGCTATGGTTGTTTGCAAGTCCAGAATACTCACTCATTTTCTGTTGCTCTTTCAATGAGAGCGATGAAGAAATATTTTCACTGATACCAGGTTGCTGCTCAGGGTTCTGCTCCACAGTGCTAGCATAGAACCCCCTGAACTTGATACAGTCCATGGGGCACTCATTAGAAACACTGCCAATATCAAGAACAAGTTAAGCCATATTCAGAATTTTGTCTGTATAAATTCTGTCTGGAAGCACAAACGCACAAACCTGAGGAGGAAGGAAAGGAAGAAAAAAATAAATGTATATTTTACTGTCTGCCTTTGCTGACAAACTAGAATTCTCATTAGCTGATAAAATCAGTAAGCGATCAGTGACAGTCATGGTTAACATACTGAGCATTTCAATGGTGAAAGGTTTAAGCTGATAACAATCGCCAGTCTAACAAGGTATTATTGCAGAAAAAGTATTTATTTTTGAGCAAAACCCACAGAAAAAGAGAAAGTAGATTAAATATGAAAAAATCCTTCAAAGTCTACATATTCATTTGCTTTCTGTTTTCCTCCTTAATTCTTGGTAAGTTTACTGCCTGGAATTAGACAATAACTGCTGAAAAACATTTATCAGTAAAGCCATTCCATTAGCTTGAGGGTTTCCATTCAGACATCAGAGGATTCCCTACTAGCCTTGTGTTGTTGATGTGTTTGTTTTGTTTTACAGTCTTGTTTCTTATTTTAAGGCTAATTCTTCTATTTTGACCAATTCTTTCTTTGTTACAAAAGCCACACATGAGCAGAGGGAGACTGTGGGAACTGAGAAACTGCATATACAACTGCATTTTTGTCAGCAAAAAATTTTTAAGGTACAAAAAAAAAATCTGAGAATAAGCAGCATGGGTTTTTTTTCTACCTGACTTTTGACCAATTCAGAAGAAAAAAAGATTCTGCATAGTGTTTAGAAAGGTAGATTTTAAAACAAAAACAGAACTCCTGTAAAGCAAATTCTACTACACCAGGCTCAAAATGAGAGCTTATATAAGTAAATAAATTAAGAACTAACACAGAATAGCCAAAGACGACCTTCTATATAGCAGTTCAACTTCACAAACAAAATAAAATATCCTAATGTGACTCACTTCCTTATTTAGTTCAACAGCCCACAAATATAACAATACTGCAAAACTATGAACTAAGATTCTCTGAACAATGTAATTCAATATCATTAAAAAGTGGGGTTTTCTTTGGTTTTCTTGTTTAAAGAACCTTGTTTTGTTTCCACCTCTTTCTTCCTTTAAAATACTCAAAATTACAATTGTTGGCTAATTCCTGTGACTGGAATAACACAGGCAATGAAAAAAAAATCTGCAACTGTTTTGCTAATATTAACTGCAACAACTTGCTGTTTAACAGAGGAACAATATTTTTAAAAGCCTATAAACAGGCAGCTTTAACTTAAAATTCATTTTAAATGCACTATGGTTTCACTCCTCTCCCCCCAAAGCCACTGAAACTATTTTCTTACCCTCCTAATAGCTATTTTTCCACATATTTTACATTTATTTTAGAGCTTTTCAGAAGAAAATACCACTCGTCTCTTCTTTTGGCCAAAGAAATACGTAAGATATCTGTTTTCAGTTGAAAGATGAAGTGTAGTTCAGGGACATTTATTAAACCATTGCTATTGGTGTATACATGTTCCTAAAGATATTATTTACAAGTGCCCCATTACAGGTAATTAAAAACAACAACAACAAAAAAAACTTTCTGGGAGAGTAAAACATAGTGACATTTCATTACTGTGTCTATTCACTTCAGGTCCACTAATTCGTATTGAATAGACTTTCTGTTGTGCTTTTGTGTTGAATAGTAGGATACAAGCAGTAAATTACACTTTAGTATATCTAACAGTTTTTCTCTGGACTAAGGAAGCCACTTTCGTCTTAAAAAAAGACATAAACTGGAACATGCAGTAAAAGAATATTTACTCTCAGATGACATTCCAGTATCATTTTGCAATAGCACATACTCTGATGGCAAATGATTAAAGCAGATCAGATAATTCATCCCTAGTGATTGATTCTTTCCATTAGATAAAGCTCACACTTTCAGCTTTTGAATGGAGGTGCTGCTGGCCAGTGGTACCCATGCTGCTACCCACAATTTCATAGTCCTTGCACAGCAAAAGCAGAAAGAATGATGCCAGACTAGCAACCGTTAAGTTTCTCTGCCAGCAACTTGAAACATAACAAGGCTCAAAAGAAAAGTAACTGTGGAAAGTGGCACCAGGGAATACCTTTATGGAGAACACATGAAAAAAATCTGTTACTGCATTGGTAGGAGCATTTTATAAAGCGTTAATCCATTCCAGTCCAGTAAATTCTCTTAGCAGTATTTCAACTACTGCATAAGGAAGACCATCTATCTGGTTAAAAACCTGAAACCACTCTCAAGAAGCCACTTCCCATGCATCAGCTATATTATTATTTCTCAGAGAGAGCTGAGCCTGCAAAGTTCTATAGAGGATCCAGTAAGTATAGGTACTCCAGCAACCTAACCAGCTAGCAATGGAATGACCTTTTACCTTCTCTGTGAAGATTAAAGATGGAGATCGTCTACAGTATTTTGTTCATTTAAAGTAAATGCTGTACCCACAAAATTACACAGATTAACTGCACCATGATTAAAATGAAGCTTTTGAAAGAAGACTGCAAAGGCATCACCTGAAAAGGAGGTCTGACCTAATTTCACAGAGGAATTTAAGATGAAACCCAACATTGCTCTTGCACTATGTTCTGTTCTCAAGGTAGGGGTTTACCCCTATTTTTCTAACCAAGCACTACTTGGAGAGAGCTTTAAATAGGTAGAACAGAAAAATACAGTCCCGTAATTGAAACAATATCATCTGCCAGCAAGCTACATTACATGATTCCCTTAGAAGTAGGAAAAAAGCTCTCACCAAACCTTTGGGCTGTCATACTTAAATCTCTCAAGGAAAACTATACATGCCTCTAGCTAGGTTCATAAGCATGAATTGCCAGAAGACAGACCCTTCTCAGAGCCCTAAATTCTCTAAAGACAAATAGTCCAATATTATAGCAATGCCTATGTCAGAAAGCTTTTGCAATTTGTGACAAGCGTGATGATTACACCAAAGGCTTCCTACTATGAACTCAAGCATTTTGTATATCAACCTTCTCTTCTCTGGACTCTTCAAAGGATATTACTACAAACGCTGTAGTACTTTCACTCTCAATAGTCACCATCAAGTATTTTTTCAGAACCAATTCTCCCTGGAAAATTATTTTCCCCCCAAGTCCCTTATCTAATCTTTGGAAGATTATTAAGAGTCAATAAAACTGTGGCAGAGCTAGCATGCAGTGTCTTATGGTTTGAAATTATGAGCTGTAAAAATAAAAAATAATAATAATAAAAAAAAAAATCAGTCATGACCACTTTTTTCCATTTCCAAATATCATCTATTATCTCTTCTCTCTCTCTCTTTTTTTTTTTTTTTTTTAAAAGCAGCTTTCAAGAGTTCAAGTGAAGAAAATCACAAACTGACAAGAGAAATCAGGTACTGGCGTAGAGATGGTATCATATGAGTTTTCTCCTTCTTGACATTTGGCAGAAACTTTTGTCAGAAAATGCTTACAGTGCGTTACCTCTGTCTCTCATGAGCTTATGTAACAGAGCTTCTGCAGGTTTGCCCACCACACGTCCATGCAATGCCTACGTAACTACATTACAGGGACTACAATTTGGAGCCCAAGGACCAGAGATGAAACGTATACCCCAGTGATGCCAAAGAGGCAAGTTTAACCTTCTTTTTATAGATGTATCTTGTATTAGAGATACCTCAACTTGTAGAGGTGGAAAGGTATTCTTATCCAGGACTTGAAGATTTATCTCACTGCAAGTCAATCTTACGCAAAAGTGCCTCCATTTGAAAATCTGAAAAGCCTCAGTGCCACAAGCACATACAAGATCAAGGAATGATCTTGTATGATCCACAAGGGGGAAGGGGAGTGGTATAGTGGCAGGAGTCAATAAAACACCGCTCAAGTCAGGATGCCTCCAGCAGGTGCATGCAGCCAGGAGAGACAGCATGGAACATGGCTATGGAGGATCCTCTTGCACCTCTCCTGGGAAGCTTGCATGCTTGACTGGCTCTCTGAAACGCCTGTATACCAATGCACGCAGCATGGGGAATAAGCAGGAAGAGTTAGAGATCTGTGTGCGGTCGCAGGGCCATGATCTCATTGCAGTGACAGAGACATGGTGGGATAGTTCACATGACTGGGATGCTGTCCTGGATGGCTATGTGCTTTTCAGGAAAGACAGGCCAGGAAGGCGAGGTGGTGGAGTTGCTCTTTATGTGAGGGAGCAACTAGAACGTATGCAGCTCTGCCTCGGGGTGGATGAAGAGCAAGTCAAGAGCCTATGGGTAAGGATTAAAGGGCAGGCTAACATGGGTGACACTGTTGTGGGGGTTTACTACAGGCCACCTGATCAGGAGGAAGTCATCGATGAGGCCTTCTACAGACAGCTGGAAGAAGCCTCACGATCACAGGCCCTGGTTCTCATGGGAGACTTCAACCACCCTGACATCTGTTGGGAAGACAGCACAGCTAGGCACAAACAGTCAAAGAGGTTCCTGCAAAGCATTGATGATAACTTCTTGAC